CTTGCAGCTGCAAAAAGTAGAGCCATATGCTCAAAGGCCCTTTCTCTGTGTACCTTTATTCAGAGAGCATTATAGAGTGTGTTTGCAGTGGTGTGAAATACAGGCTATTCATGTACAGTACAAATGTTGTTTGTCCTTAAGTTTTGGACAAGTGTAGTTATTCAGTGATAAGAATGTTTGAAGAGAGGCAACATCATAAGTTTGAAAAATGAATGGATTAAATAATAGCTATACAATAAGCTAAACCAAGGAGCTCATTTATTGGAACAAATATTAAACAATTTCAATTTAAAATGATTCTAATCNAAATGAAATGTTTTCATTCTATTCACAATTAATCTTTGATTTAAAATTTCAATTTGAGAAACAAAATGTAAATTCCTTAATTAAATGTCATCTTTTAAAATTAATTGATAAATTTGATAAATATTTTCGTAATGATGAAGTTCACATTACAAAACTGTGGATTCAAGATCCATACAACAATTATAAAAATACCAATATATCATCAGCTGATTTATTAGAATTAATAAATGATTGTAATTTGAGATTGTTTTCAAAACTAATAGTGTGTCTCAATTTTGGATACAAATTCATGCAGAATATCCTCCCCTGTTTTCAGAAGCAATGCAAAATTTTCTGCCTTTCGCTAGTACATATTCGTGTGAAAAAGGTTCTCAACTATGGTGGATATAAAAACAAAAAAACACAATCAATTGCGATTAGATGCCTGCATGTGGATAGCATTACAAAACAATTGAACCAAGAATTAACAAATTAGTTGAGGATATTCAGCAGTGGAAATCTCATTAAATTATTTTCAAATATTTTTTGTTTTTTCTATGAATATTTAAATGTTTCTTATTTTTTGTTAAAAGTTAATGAGTTTTTGTTAAGTTAATGAGTTAATAAGTTAAGTTAATTTTTTGTTAAAAGTTAATAAGTTAAAGTTTATGTTTAATTGTGAAGTTTGAATGTTATTTAAATAGATAATGAAATAATAAAGTTATGTTTTACATTTATTATATAAAAAAATAAAGCAATAATAAAAAAATCAATTTATTATAAATAATTTAACAAATATTAATTATTATTAAAAAATGGGAGTCACAAAAAAAATTATAAAATATTTGGTGGGCCACGAGTATAAAAACGTTTAGAACCACTGATCTACAGGATGGGTGGAAAACAACTATGCATTCATTGAGAAATCACTATAATTTTTACATTTTTAACACAAAGATGATGAAAATTATTTGTCACGTATCTTATTAAACAAAAATACAGATGCATACCTCAACATTCAATGTGGGCACTGACACCATCACCAACTTCCTCAAACAATCAGGAATGGAATTCACAGTCTTCTGCAGTAAGTCATATGGCATGTTGGTGATAACATCTCAAATCCATGTATCCAATTCTTCCAGTGTTCAAGATTTCATTTGGTACACCTCCTCCATTGCCCAGCCCCAGGGGAAAAAGTCACAGGGCATGAGGTCTGGACTTTCACCTCACGAATGGCTTCCAAGAAATCCAGACCTCATGCTTCTGGGGCTGGGCAAAGGAGGGGTACTGAACAAAACCTCAAATTACATGCAGAAGGATGATTGATAAAGTTGGTAGATGGTGCTAGTGTCTACAGTGAATGTTAAGATATGCAACTGAATTTCTGTTTAATAAAGTACAAATAATTTTCATCATCTTTGCAGTAGAAGTATAGAAATTGTAACGATTTCTCAATGCCTACTTATTTTCCACCTATCCTGTAGATTTGTATATATCATTTGTGGTATATGGTGTACAAAAGTGTACTTTTTACAATGTAATCACGGTGCTATACATTAGAGAAAAAGAGATGCTGAATTAGATTTAACACAACACCATGGCTTAATGCCTATTTCAAATCCAAATTGCTAAACATTTGAATAATTATTAATCAGCATCACAATAAGCTGATAAGAATCTGACTGTAATGTCTGATTAATGAAGGAGACTATAAACATGTCAAAGTTTTGAAACTTATACCTAAAATTAAATATATTTATACACAAATATGTTGTAACAATGTTTTAGTCACTTAGAAAGTCCTCTCAGGAAAACTTTCTATAAAAATTGACCCCTATTTAGGTGTTAATAGAGAGGTTGAGGCGCACGTTTTAAACGTGTAAACGTGTACGTGTGACGTTCGGCGCCGCTTTCCCGTAAGCCTAAAAGTTTGACAATGGTGTTTGGATAGTCGGTGGAATCACAATCGACATTCCAAACACCATCGTCAAACTTTTAGGCTTACAGGAAAGCGGCGCCGAACGTCACACGTACACGTTTACACGTTTAAAATGTGCGCCTCAACCTCTCTAGAAACTTGAAGATATTTTTACTACTTTGTAGGAAGAAACAGCTGTTAAAATTAAAATTCATTGTGAAATTTTTTTCTAAATATAAAGAAATAAACTATTTAAAAAAAATTATATCTTTACAATAATAACCTATTAAGAATTGAAAAAATGGAATATTGCTTAAGTGATTCAAATGTTTGCACGCCTTCAATAATTTCTCAAACTTACCGTTCGTCGAGAGGCAGTACACGTAAGTAACTCCGACGACATCTTGCCATTGTGTAATGGGCACAGAATGTCTTGATGTCTTTCAATAAAATTTAACTACTTCTTCCTTTATGAAAATTAAAACGGAATCATAAATAGTACAGTTTAATTAAATACATTTTTTGAATATTTAATGTATTTATTTCTATCTGAATATTTGACTTAGTTTGAACAAGAATAAAAGCAAAAAGAAGGGAAAAAGTTCCATGTATTGATTTTTCTAAAGTCTCGAAAACTGGAACAGTTATTAGAAAGTCTGCACATCCCTTTCACCTATTCCAGCACAACAAAATTTAATGGAAGTACAAACAGTTTCAGCTACTGTTAGAGCCTTCATCAGGCAAAAGAGTCATTTTTCAGTTGAAGGTAACTTATTCAATGTAAAAAAATGGCTCTCTTGCCTGACGATCCATAAAAGTAGCTGAAAACATTTGCGCTTTTATTAAATTTTATTATGCTGGAGACAGTATGAATGGTATGCAGTGTTTTTAGTGTGTTAGTGTCTGTTTCATTTCATATCTCAGGATGGGGTAAAGATAAATGAAATTTAGCATAACTTTTAATATAAGGGACATTGATGCTATTAAATTTTGGAGTACAGAACTTCAGGGGATGGGAACTTAGAGGGGATCATGCGTTATAGTGCTTTTTAAATGGAGATTTTTAACATAATTCAACAAAATTATTCCCTCTAAGCTTTTGTTATTATTTAAATTTTATATACTAGTTCAACTAAAAATTATTAGACTTCCTAATGTTACTCTTAATTTCCTTTCTTCTTTATTATTATTTGTTAAACAAATATGTGCCATCTCACTCCGCTAGGCACTACCAGGGACCCTTAATTTCTTGTCTGAGGCCAGGAAAGTTGAGCAAGAACCTTTGCCAGCTTTTAACTACCACTTAAGATTCAAGCCAATTCATCTCGAGTGATGCCAATGTATAAAAAACTCTTTTCATTAACAACAAAGTCATAACTTTTCATTAAATATTTGCATGACTTTTTAAGCTTCAAAAACATTTGTGTAGTGTTGAATTAAGATTTATTCAGTTTTTTAGTCGGTATTGCGACTTTAATTATTTTTTACAGATGGAATAGAACAATTAGATTATTTAGTTAGTTAAGACATCTGCTCTTCTTTCTACTGATATTGAATGTATGACATTCATGTTGCTTTTAGTACATAAAAATAATATCATTAACTATATATAACATGTTAAAAGTGATTATTAATTACTTTTAACTTAGTAATGAAACATTACTAAATGTTATACTAAAGTTTTCAGATGCAACATCTCAGTTACTACACAAACCACAAACATACAGTATGTTTCACAAATATTGGCTGGGCTATGATGTGAAGTGGCAGGGATAAGTCTATGGGTGCGTATACTTTTAGCTCCGATCTCGCCCCTAGCGCGCTCAGCCTGTATACTTTTTGTTAGCTACCAACGAGCACGGCGTATACTTTTCGCACCCGTGACGTCATTGCTAGCATTCCTAGCGCGCTCGGCGTGCCCGGAGAACTTACAACGAGCTTGGCGTTAGTTCAAAGATGGCGGCGTCCATGTACGATGTTACCGTTTCTTTACCGGACGGAAAAGAAGTTCAATTACGCGTTAATGAAGTCGTTTATCGTCAGATGATGGAAGGTAAGTAAAAAGGGATTCCTAAAAGTGTATAATTTTATATCATAAATCCTATTTCGATAACNGGTTAACCAACAAGAATTTGGAAAATCTGCTGGTTGTTTCAACATCTGCCATTACGCTAGACATCAAGAAGATTGCTGCCAGCATCCAATCTCAGCCATCGCATTAATCACTTGGAGGTCTGGCCCCCAGTCAGTAAACTTAATCCTAATTTGGCCCTTCTTCAGAAAAGGTTGTGCATCCCTGTCTTAACTGTTTACAGCAGATGGCGAAGTTAGCAACCTACTGCTCCGGTGATCCCGGATCAAATCTGGATGGATCGACAAACCCCAATTACTTTTGGGATGATGCGTCTGGATAAGTCGGCACTTATCCCTCACAACCTGGCTGTCTCATTCTGGGTCTGGCCAAACTCATAAAGGGCTTGTTAAAAAGTAGCTTTCATAGTACACACAGGGAGAAGAGTTAAAAAAAAAAAAAAAGTTTGTAGCATTTGACTCTGGCTCTTCATTTCTTTCTTTGAGTGGCACTGGTTTTTATACCTAAAATTTCTTGCTTGTGTGTTACTTGTTTGATAATTTATATAAATCAAGTGAAATTTATCATCTGTTAATAAATTAGAATTTACTTAATACTTAAATAATTATTTAATAGTTAAATATTAATGAATATTTAGACAATGTTTTTTTTTATATTTAAAAATTATAAATTTACATCTGCTTACTTCTTCATCATCACCTTCGTCCTCAGACACAATTTTTTTAATAATGAGGTTACAGATTTCAATAACAACAAAGCATTTTTAACATCTGAATGTTGTATAAGGAACCAAGCAATGGTGCAGAAAAATAACAATGCTATTTTCTTAAGGTCTTTCAACTCTGAAATTAAGAAAAGCTTTAAATTCAAGCTTAAATATTAAGCTCAAGCTTACTAAATATTTACCATTTAAATGATGCCCAATTCCTTCTAGATCTCATTGTGGTGTCAGTAGAGACTAAATTGTACATAAAGATTACAGATACAGAGCAGTAGTAACATCAACTGAATCTGAAGTTGGTTTTATAACATATGCTACATAAAATATTGTTTAAAAATATGGAATTTAATGCCCATATCTATTTCAATTTACTATTTCAAAAATTAATAATGAACAGTCAGCAATAACTAGACTTTTTGAGTCTAGTTATTTTCCAGTACAATGAGTTACAGCAAGTTTTAAGAAGTTATCTGAAGATGAAACAGAACAGTAGAAAAAACATTAGTGAGGTTGGGGCCAAAGTTTTAAATGCAAAAACGTGTACGTCGGACGTTCAGTGCCGCTTACCTATAAGACTAGAAGTTTGACAATGGTGTTTGGAATGTCGAGCACGATTCCACTGACGATCCAAACACCATTGTCAAAACTTCTCGGCTAATAAGAAAGCGATGCTAAACGTCTGACATACATGTTTTTGCATTTAAAACTTCGGCCTCAACCTCGCTATTAAGTTCTTAAAGTCTAACTTCCTTAATTAAGTTATTTTAGACTGTTTACGATATAAATGCAGCTCTAAACAAGGCAGTTGGAAAATTATCAGCTGTAGACTATGCCCATAGGAGTAAAAATCAAAGGAACTGATGTTCTACATGTGATGATTTACAAGATATAGCTTCTTGAAATCATTCTCTAGAATTTTGAAGACTCTCAAAAATGGGGTAAAATTTAAGTGAAAAAATCAAGAACTATCTCTCAAAACAATGCTAAAAATCAATTGTTTTCCACTTTACTAGAGATGGCTAAAAGCTCTTAAAATACAAGAAACACCATTGCACTGACTACTTCTGGGGCACGATTGGAGTCGTGCCGCATGTTCCATAAGACTATTGCAAGTTTAACAAGCAGTCAGTCAAGATATTAGTGGATTATATCTCACAAAGGGATGCACGTAAATCATCAGTTTCTTTGAGGTATTTTACTTCTAAGGGTATGGAAAGGTGCCAACATCATCATTCAGAGCTGCATTTGTACCCTGTTCATTACTTATCATATAATGAATAAAGAATAATTAGATATTAAAAATTTAATTGATAAACCACTTACACTGCTGTAAAGTTAGTGTTATTTGCTGCCATACTTCATTTTTACAAAAAGTCTTTATTTTACTTTCACCTTTCAATAGTAAGAAATTTAACCAATTGTGTATTATTATTATTATTATTTCCAAAATTATAGATTCTTTTGTTACAGGAACACCTTAAATTAAAGATTTACAAATTAGTAACATGTAAAAGTATTAATATTAACTTAAATTCTTATAGATTACCTCTCACTTGAAAACAAAGATGTTAAAGTTGTTCTAATAGAACCAGATCATCTTTCTCTTCAGTTTGATTATTTGCTATTGGTGTTAACTTCTGTTTTCAACTAAGTTAAATTATATATATTTTTATAATTATTTATGAATAATAATCTAAAAAATTTACAAAATTAAAAAAATATATATATATTTATTTATTTATTGAAATTTAAAATATTTAGTACCAAACATAGTTTCATGTGCCAATTTCAAATTAATTATTGTAATAGGTTTTGCAGATTATGTATAATGAGAATTCAATACTGTATACTGTAAAATTGATTTATCATAAATATTGTAATAAAACATGAAAAATGAACATTTCTATTAAACTTTACTGTAGATGTGTAGTCAACTAGATATGTTTCAAGAACACATAAGTCAACATCAGTATGAATACTGATGCTGACTTTTTAAATGTGCCCTTGAACATGTAATATCAAATAAATGTCATCATAATAATTGATAAACTAATAAAGTTGGATTTGGTAATACTGTACCAGTGTATAGTGTACATGATAACTCCAAATATGCAATTACTGTACGTACCTGTATGTTCTCCGTTCACTGTTCATCCGTACGCAACTACGGTTGCTATTGTAACAAGTAACATAAACATTTATTTATTTATTTGACAATAGCCAACATCAAATCGTTGGTGCACAAGAATAGTGACACAACTCAAAAAAATAGATCTTCCAGAACAGCCATTTAAAAGTTTCTTGTTTCCTGCAAGGCTTTGTCACAATCTTGGATTTTTAAAATTTTCAAATCTTTTTTGGAAATAAATATTAGTGCTCGTTCTTCCACATAAAAATATGGGGAGTTTGCTATACATTTCTACAATAAACTCGAAATTGGAAATTTTTGAGTCGTGTCACTATCCTTGTGCACCAACAAAATGTGACACTAATACTCAAGAAAGACGTAGAAAACAGAAAGGATTTTTTGACGAAAACCAAACAGACGAAGATATCAATTTGACCGGTCAAGCAGACTTTAAAATAAATACATTCAATGTTATTTGTGACCAAATTTTTAGCAAAATTGATACAAAATACAAAACGTATAAAGATACTAACAAAATATTTCAAGTATTTTTGAAAGCCTTTGAAGATTAAAAGAATGTATCGGATTATGCAAGTGAAATAAAAAAAAATTTACTTCGATGACATTAATGTTGAAGAACCAAACGAGCTGACAATTTATTTTAATGGTGACAATACAGTTTGCGAAACCCAAACGATCTTTCTCCATTTTAAAACAAGTTAAAAATTATTTACTAAATTCAATAGGACAGGAAAGGCTAAGGTCTTCAGCAACACTTTTGAGAAAGATACTCTCGAATGGCTAGAATGCAAAGATATTATTGAAGATTTCTGATATGAAAATCCAAAAACAAAAAATTTAAAGTTTTTAAAATCTGATTAATGACTATAATTATATATATATCTGATTGACCGAGTGAGCAATTGATTCATCACGGCCCAGAGCAAACCGCCGAACCTAGAGATGAAATTTTGTATACAGTTAGGGTACGTCACGAAAATGTACACTAAGGGATTTTTCAAAATTCCCTTAGGAAGGGATTTCCACGTATTATCGGCGATATCTGTCGAACGGCAACGTATTACGGCTTCACGGGACCCGGGCAAATTCGAATTAGGGAACCCCACATAGTGCCGACTTGGAGGAATTTTTTGGGGAAATATTTTATTATAAAAGATCGGCTCGGGCCCCACCGACGGAGGCCCGGGCAATTGCTGTTTTTGCCCGTAGGATAACAAACGCACAACTGCCGTCGAACGCGTAATATCGATAAGAGTCGGCGACGCGTTATCAAACCTATATTACCGTGACGTTAACGGTACCAGCAATGCCGAATGTTTATTTACTGCACAGATATTGATGTAATAATCTTTATCCCTTGACATAATTTTTAAAAAATAATTTCTTAAAGGATGTAGTGATGTTGTATACTTAATTATAAATTAAGAATTTAAAAATACACAATTAAATTTGACAATAAGAACATATACTCACTAATAATTTACATAATAAAATATTATGCCGAACTGACCATTGAATAAAAATTAAATTTGTTTTATTAATAAATTTAACTTTCTAAATCTGCCCGATGCGCCTTTTGAAGGCAAATTATTCAATAATTCCTCCAAACATTATAAACATTTAATATATTTCCCTTTCTTGAGTTGTTTTTCGTATTCTTTAAAATATTTCTCGTCGTCTTCGACGCTGCCACTCATTTTAAATACCGAACACGTGGTCAAAATTTCCCACCTACCAAATTACGTTGGTAGAAAATTCGCCAATATCTCTTTTATTTTCCTTTCTTTTTGAAACTTTTTTTACAATGTTTAAAGTAAATAATGAATTAATAAATGAAATAAATATTTAAAATGTATTTATTAATACTACGCTTTATGAGGTAACAAGCAAATTATGTTCTTTTAATCTGACTCCTAAACTTCTATTAGTGACACCAATATACTGTAATTTTTATTAATGTCTAGTTCACGATTTTCATATGGAATCTTGTATACACCTGCTCTTTTTTCTTTATCTATGCTGTCTTTGTCATTCCTTAATAATCTGTACAGATTAGGAGCTCTCTTGAAAATTAACCTTGACTCTTTGCGGGCTGAGATTTCTTTCATGATGGCTTTTCTCTTTCTATCATACGTGAACTTTGTGATTCTGCCGAAATCGCCGTTTTGCGTTTTAGTTTTATTTGTTTTGTATTTTCTGATCAATGTTGTTATCATATCTTCTCTGTACCCTAGAGATCTGGCAAAATGGCTGCCTTCCGTGCCCTTATCCAAAGGGCCTTTCTCTATTGCAGTAGTGTGTTAGATAGGCAGAAAGAAATTAATAGAATATTACGTATTGCCAGATCTCTAAGTGAGAAATTCATTATATTATTATTTTTATTTTTAATAGGAATTTATTATTTAGTGCACGGAATGACACCGCTGCTGCGGAAAGCCCACTAGGGGGCGTCCCGGGCTACAAGAATAGAAGGAGTAGAAGTACGAAATAACCTAATAATCTTAATCTTGTTGTTTTTGCCCGGTCAACGCCGGGCTCGTCTGCTGGTATAATAATAAAACAAAATACAATTCTTTAAGTACTGAGTACCTAATAATATTTACTACATATTATGTAAACTGTATTGACAAAAAGTTTCATAACAAATACATAATAATACATTTAAAAAATCACTTCAAAATCGTTGTTTTCTGGATATTTCGTTCGCAAATCGGCCAACCGCACTCTCCGCATCGCGTTGAAAAGCTATTGTTTTTCAATCGATACATTAGCTAAACAGCCGATACGGTGTTTCGACGCGCCGCTTCTTAAATAAGTTTCGATTAAATTTAGTTTTGAAAAACTTGGCTCTGCCCCCGCTGTCGTTGCCGGTGAAGTTAAAAAAAAAACGAGGCACGCTGCAATAATACGGGAGAAGCTACTCGAGGCTGCGGCGTGAATTAAAAGTTGTTCGGCAACTCGGCGTATGGAAGTAATTTCTTTTAATGAGTATAAAAACACGTTTTAAATCGAAGCAGTCGATGTCCAAAACTAGGCGAAATGTCGGAGGCTATGCCGATTGTAACAATACCGATCCTTCCCAATTATTTTTATCGGATGACGCGACAAGATATTCGGGTGAGAAGCGCTTAAAAAGTGTACGCAATTGTCCAACGGATTCAAATCCAATAGTTAATTGATTAATTATAAAACCCAAAAATATTTTTACAAATGTTTATACCGGCGTTTATTTCGCCCTTTATAACTAAGCGCCCTGGTGATTCGTGCGCCCGGAGCAGTTTGCCCCGACTGCTCCTCGGTAGCTGCGCGGTATTCTCCACGAATAAACAACGCGATAACTCCTGCTAAAGCGCGCGTAAACACAAATAAAACGTGAACGAACCACAAAGATGGCGCCGGACAATCGCTCACGCTGGTGACGTGACCGGTGACGTGGACTAGAAACTTCTCTATAGATAAGACCACCGAACGGAAGTTCTCACCTCTTTCGCATCTGTTTAGAAATTATAGAGTAGAACGAGAAATAACGCGGCCACGCATTAGTTACCAAAGTTGGCCGAGCTCTATTACCACGGAAACGTTCCCAAATTTTGTTTCCGATTTCGGGAATTAAATCGTTTATTTTATTCGAAGGTCCGGATGCGACCAACTCTTTCGCCGCCCACGGGGGAATTTCTAAAAACGATACTTTTTTTTTTTCGAAGCCCGTCCCCGGCCACCCGTTTGGAACGGGCTAGCTATAAGAGGCTCTCTCGTTGCCCGCGGGTCGGAAAGAGCGGTATTGTCTGCCCGTTCTCCTTTTATCAACGACACCCTTCCGAATTTAATTTTACTTCATTATCTCCGAAACATTAATCGGACGAAATAAAATTGAAGGAGATTCGTTTAAACCAGAGTAGAACGAGTCCGAAACGATTCGAGTAAATTATGGTAATGAAGGAAACATTCGGTCTAATATCGCGTTGTAGCCGATAGTTATTACAGAAATACAATCGAAGATTTTGCAGAAAACTTGGCTGTCTGCACCATTCGAGTTATGGAAAAAGCCGAATTATCTGGCTGTAATACGGCTACGTAGGTAATTAAATAGTCTTATAGGTAGATGGTTACGCTGCCATCTCGTGCTGGATTAAATAATTTTAATACGTTTTATTTAATTTAGAATTTCCGGAAGAAAAGAATCGGTCCGGAGCGGGACTCGAACCCGAACTGCCGTTTACCGCGCGGACGAGTTGCCACTTATGACTTTTCTTTCAGAAAATTTATTATAATTAAATCTAGCACGAGATGTCGGCGTAACCGTCTATCTCTAACTCGTCCTTCCCGAAGATGGACAGTAATTCAGACTTTTGAAAATATTTGAAAAACAAAATTGAAATATTTTAAAATTTTAATGGAGAAAACTTAAATATTTCGTGAAATATCGATATAAATGAAGTCGTCTTCTTCGTTGCCGTCCACGACGAGAGAAGATAGACTACTCGAAACGACACAATGTTAAATGGTCATTATTTAGCGTTAATTCGCCAAAGTGAATGATCGAAGATAAAAAACTTGCTCCGCGTAATCTTATCGTAACAAATAAAACCCAATTACTACTAATTGTTTCCTTTTTCTGAACTTTATCGCATTTCTATAAACAATAAATTTCCAAGAAAACTATTATGTTTTCGGAAAAAAATCTCCTACTTCCTATACCTTTATCGCCGTCGAAGGGTAAATATTCTTATACTTTAGGAACCATGGGGTGCATCGGGCGCCACGCACTTACCGCTATTTTATTTTTATCCGTTCTCGCAAAAGAGGCCGAAGAAAGGTAACTTTTTCATTGCCATTCGATAGTAAGAAACCGACGGGAACCCATTTCGTCTTAATTTTTAGTAAAATTTGGAGAAGAGTGGCCACCGCCGATCCTAACAAACTATGGGAAGAGGGAGTTCTGCCTTACGAAATCGGCGAAAATTGCAGCCGTAAGTTCCATTAATTAATATAAAATACGAATTTCCCGGTAAAATGGCTAATTTGCAGAGGGCTTGCGAGAAACCATACATCGAGCCATGCTGGAATGGGAGTCCGAAACCTGCATAAAATTCGTACCGGCGGAACCCAGCCACAAATATCGATTGATCATCGATAACCGAGGACACTGCGGGTGAGTGCGGGTAGAAAAGGCCCGGATATTAACCGGCTATTTGTATTAATATGGTATTTTCAGCTGCTGCTCTTACGTGGGAAGAATATCGGAAAGGCAGATAACGGTCTTTCACGAAACTTGCAATTCCGTATCCACCATAATGCACGAATTGGGACACGCCATCGGGTTTCACCACGAACAGAATCGCCCGGATCGCGATAATTACATTAACGTAATGTTTAAGAACATAAAGAAAGGTAAATCTCTTTTAAGGTTAGTGTTTCTTGCCCGAAATTACAACGCGTATTTGTTAATTTGGCGCCGTCAGGACACAAGAGTAACTTCCGCAAAATGGCCGAAAGCGACGTGAACACCTTGGGTTTCGCTTACGATTTCAACAGCATAATGCATTATTCTTCCAAGGCTTTTTCGCTGAAAGGAGGAGAAACCTTTCGAGCGTTAAATCCCAGCATTTCTTTGAGAGAAAAGAGAGTTAAACTGAGCCGGACGGACATCGCCGCCGCTAACAAACTGTACAAGTGTCCCAGTAAGAAGGTTTTTAACTTATTTCTAGGCTTACGATTAACGAAATTTAGCAGAGAATAACGTAAATGTTCCTTGTTTACGTACGCGGACAGAATGTTACGTCAAACTGTTTAAGAAGATGGACGAAATTGCCCTTTCTAATTATAGTTTGGCTTCTAAAGAAGGTTACTGCCAATGGTTTATCGAGAGAAATCCCGGCGAATTTATAGAATTTTACGTGGAAAACGTCGACATTTTGGAAAGCGAAAATTGTTCTTCCAATTATTTACAGTTCCAAGACGGCTACTGGTCCAAATCGCCGATTATAGGTTTTCGTTTAATTATAATAGCTCGATTAATTAATTAAACCGGATCGACGGTGCTTAAGAGTCGAAACGATCTTTTTAGATTATTCTTACGATTTTAAAGTTCATTTAATTTAGATCGAGTGTGCGGGAAGAGAGAAGAGAAAAAATTGTATACCACCAAGACCAACAATCTGTTAATCACTTATAAAAAGTCTTCCGCAAATTCGGCCACCGAACAATTTTCCGTAAAATACAGAGGTATAAATATATATAATTCTTACCTTTTTAAGTTACATTAAACCTTTTACTAGTAATAATTGTAATCTGTGCCAAGTATAACTTTTGAAATTCGTATTTGCAATTACTTTATGAGATTGAAAGTTAGAGATACTAAAATTACCGCTGGATTTAGATTGTTTTGGTCTTAAACCGTAAGAGAGGATCTCACCGTTTTCAAATAATATTAAATTTAAAAGTCCAGACTCTAAATCTTAGATTCTAAAGCTTAGACTCTAAGGACGAAGCCCATAGATTTAAATATAACCCAGACTATTAAATTTAACTTATAAATTATTACTATGGAATTTTTTATAGTTATATGTAGCGGAACAATTAAAGCGGATCACGGAAGGATACAAAGTCCACAGTTTGACGAATCGTATCTCTACGATTCGATATGCCAATGGGTCCTTACCGTTCCTCGCGGTTACAGAGTGGCTTTACACTTCGAGACCTTCCACGTAAGCGAGAATATAATTCATAAATTTCTCTTGTTTGACCAAGATTTGCCAGAATTTTGGAGGTATTTTGTTAGATCGAAGGCGACGAGAATTGTTTTTCCGATTACGTGAAAGTCACGGACGGACAATCGAGTTCCGGTAGGAAATTAGTAAGTAGATTCTGCGGAAACAAAGCGCCGAGCGACACGCTGTCCAGCAACGAAACTTTAACCGTGATATTTTCGTCCGAAGAAAGAAACGTTAAAAGCGGATTTTCTGCCACATTCATTAAAGGTGAGGCAACGTTTAATCCGATTATAACGTCAACGTTTACGGTTTCCGTTAAGGAGTAACCGCTCTTAAAAGTTGCATAAATTTAATAGAAATTAACGAGTGCCAGCTACCGGATAAAGGAGGTTGTACCGGTGTCTGCGTTAACACCGTAGGAAGTTATTATTGCCAATGCGAAGAGGGCAAACTCTGGTTTAACCGATCTAGAAGTTGCGAAAGTAAGCGACATTCCCAGGTAAAATAATTAGATTTAAATACGTAATTACGCAAATCTTATTCGTTAGAATTCGTCAATACGTGTGGCGGAGAATTAGAAGTAAAAGAGAAAATGGTGGTGACCAGTCCCTCCTATCCCGATCTCTACCCCAGTAACGCCGATTGCGCCTGGAAGATTCTTAACGAGAACGTTCGTATAACCTTCCTGCACATGGACGTAGATAAATCTAAAGTAATTACCGAGACATTCCCGGCTTTAACGTAATCCAACTGGCGGTAAATTTCCTTTTATTTCGTTGACAGAATTATTGCTTCGATAAATTAATCTTGTGGAGAAGAAAGAAGAAGAAGGTGTATTGCGGCTTCGACCTTCCCCAGCCTCTGGAGATCCGAGAACCCGGATTGCGGATTCGGTTCACTTCTAATAAAAAGGTGGAAAGAAGCGGATTCGCCTTACTCCTCCAACCTCTGTAATTGGCCAGGGAGGTTGCGGAGAAGGAAGCCGCGGTTTTATATTTGTTAGGCGTTTTTCGAGTGGCGAAGATTCGATAATTTCCAAAGAAATCCCTACTGTAGGCGTCACGCCGGAATTTGTTCTACCGCCCGGCCAACTTCTAGTATCGTTTCTTATCGAAGTAATAAAATAATTTCAAATTTAGAATACCTGTATAGAATTTACGATTCTAATCTGGCGAGCGGCTGAAAAATATATGGAAATGCAGTCGACTACATTCTTTATTATTAATAATTAATTAACTTTCTAATACCGTAATTAAATAAAATATATATAAATAATTAATACAGAGTTATCGGGCTATTATTCGTGCCGATTTTACCTATCGAAATAGCCCTATTAAGTAGGTAATTTTATAATGTCACAGACGACCACAAATGTCTATCGACAGAAAATTGTACGATAAACGTCATTTAGCGGTGGCGCCTGGGTGTCGTTCTTTTACCACCGTTCTATTTTCGAGTTTAAACTCGTCCGGCGCTTCGGTCGACCGAAAGGGCGCGGGTAAGACCCGAAACGGCAGCGGACGGTAAAATTATACGTATTTATATCGCCACACCACTTTGGATATTATCCGTATTTTTTATTAAAGTAACCTATTTATATCTGGTTTAAGTCGTTTTTACGGCTAAACGCGCCAATTAATCAAATATAATTCCGTAAATCGTCCGCAACGCGTCGATAATAACCGTCGTCTTCGGTTTCCGCCTTAATCTAAAGTCCGGGACGTAAGTGCGACGTCGTCATGCGCGGTCGAACGACCCGTGGCTGCTGTTGTTTTAACACCGAGAAGGGTTCGGTAGCCGTCGGTATTTACACCGCGGTGAGCGAGACGTCTTTGTTTAACCTCCTTAAATTCGTTTCTAAGGCTACCGGGTAGATATCGCCTTGTCCGGGCGACATCTACCCGGGCTTAACTACGGCCAAAACGATTACAGGTGATATCGTCGGCGGCCGTGGTTAACGTTTCCTGCGCGTTTTGTCAGTCCAGCCGGATCTTTAAGAGTTACCCACTCCCGCCGGACTACGAATCGACAGGTCAGTAGTACAACTTAGGCGAATTGCATCCTTAAGTCGCGACGTTTACTTTTTAAAGTTTAAAATGTTTCGGCAAAGTATCTTCGGCGCCTTTAAACGGCGGCGGCCCGTATATCGAATAAATTTCCGGCCCGGTCCGGTACCCGAAGGCGAGAACCGGGTGGAAGAAGCGGTAATGGCTAAAACAATCAGTTTTTATACGTGGTAAAGCGTATTTGCCGCCTGGTATCTACTGGCGTCCCGGACGCAACGTAGAGGCCACTTTCGAACGAAGGATAACGATAGTCTCGACGACCGATAACGGGAAATTAATCGGCGTACGCGCGTACTAAGCGCTCTCCGACGACGTCGAGTCATCGTTGTTTAGGATACGAATAAAATAAATGCAACGTATTAAATAATTCTTGCCTTAATTAAAATAGAAGAAGATTGCCAGTCATCCGCGATTTTGGCGGAAGGAATCTTACCTCGGGCCCGTCAAATTTTCCCGCACCCGGGTGGGAAAAACGGAAGAAAGCGTATCGAAGAGAAAAATCCTATTTTATACGGTCCTAGGCAAAATCTCCGACTACTTTTGTGCCGTAAAACTCCGTCTAAGACGGAAGCCGTTTCGTACGGGGTGCGATTTCTGCCTATTTTACGTTTGCCTTTTAATTTTTTCAGACGCACAATATGGAAAATGGCAGAGAGGCTTTTTAATGGGAATTCTGATTTTTCATATTATTTGGTTTTTAAGCAGTTTGCTTTTAATTTACGGCGCTATAAAGGTAAGCGCAACTGTTAATGAAATTTAATTAATATTTTTTACTATAATGATTTATTTGGTGAAATTCAAAGGTACGTTTTCGTTCCGGATTATTATTTGGCTTACTCGAAGGATTCCGCGGTTGTTTTGGACGCAATAACGAAAAAAGAACAAAGGTTACAAAACTACGTCGTTCGGCTACGTAACGGCTACCGATGGCGACAACTTTACTGGGTTACGATGGTCGACTCTGCCCAACGCGGCCCCCGCACCATCTCGGCCGACTCGCTCCTTCCCGTCTTTAAAACACTTTAAAAGTTTATTACAAAGTATTTTTCTTTAAGCAAAATGCGTTCAAAAATGGCAAAAGGTCGGTTCTTATTATTAGTCATATTATGGGTGGAATGGCTTTAAAAGTGTCGAAAACTCGGAATATAAAGGTTATAGAATCGTAACTCGCAAGTCTAAGTTATAGAATGGCAAACGGTAGACGGATAATCGAATATAGACACTCCGCTATAGACGCTATTACTCAAATTACGACCGACGAGTCTCGATAACGTTTAAAGTTGGCTTTTACGCGCCCGCCGAACTAAATCCGAAAGAAAATACTCCTTAAATAGCCGTAGCGTCGTTTAACTTTCCCCTCCCTTTTTCCAGAAGAAACGTTTTTTCTCTCTACCCTGGCTGATATGTATGACAATTATTTTGGTGGGACAAATCGCCGTTTGCGTTTTGTGCATCGTCGTCTCGTTTAGTAATTCCGTAAGTTAATAATTTCCTTTTTACCGCATTTAATTTATCCGTCGGCCAAATACAATATTAAAACGTTAACAGACCTTCGCCGTTTACGCGGTGGTCGTCGGACCGTTCCTGGCCTTCCACGTAAGTTTCGAATTACGAAATATTCCAGATTTATAAATTAATTCTTACGTTTATATTTGACTTTTATTTTACCGTAGATGTACTGTTACGGCCGCGTGTACTCGGAATACAAAAATCCAGCCGAAAAAATCCGGGAGGAAATATTATTGAAGAGTTTTAAAATATTTTAAGACTAGCTATTACCCGCCACTTCACCCGCGGGGATTTTGCCAGCAAACTCCATTTATATTCAGTATTTCAACAACCATAGTAATTGTTATGTAACACCTACCGCCGAGAATGACGAGAATCAAACCAACTATTTTCAATTTGATCAATAATTTTCTGCAACGTTTACCATCGTTCTATAATCGAACCGATACGCGATAACAAATTCGAATTTAAAACGGTTCGAACATTTGGTTAAAAAATCGAAATATATAAAAATATTTATAACAGTGTCTGAAATGTTATCAATTTAATACACTTAAGTACTCGATGAAGACTAAACGTAACAAAAAAATCGCGTGTAAAACAGTACAGTAGAAGCCAACGAAGAGAATTACCGGAGAACGTCGCTCTCGTAGAAAATCTACGAAGAAACGTCACTAATGCCCGACCGTCCCTCCGGAGGGCGAGCGAGCGAGAAAGAAACGTATTAAAACCTTAAACTTTTGTCATTCAATCCTACTGATGTTTAGATCTAACATTAAGCAGGCAAACACGAACAGTAACAAAAAAGAACTTTATTAGAAAAGGTTAGAACTGTCACAGACATCCTCGGGCAACACCCGGACAAAATCCAACGAACTTTCGCGCCTTTTCTTTTCTGACGTTGTCAGCCACTCTTGTTGGCAAGTGTTGCCAGTCAGAGTTCGTGATCTTGGCAAGTGTTGCCAGTCAGTGTTCAGGATCTCTGGCGCTGGCGGCCACAGCTACTCCCCCACCAGTGTCTGAGACACGAAACGAACGGGAAACGATACATGTCGGCCAGAGCGCGTGGTAGTTGGTCGCGCTGGGGCTCGATCTTACCCATGTTTGAACCAGAATGATTAAATTCGGACTGGAGACGTTGGGGGTAACTGGTCCGACTCGCTCGCTGCGAGAATAAAAGCCGGTTTCAGGCGATCAATAGAAACTACAGTTTCTTTTCCCTTTATGCATAGAGTGAATGTCTTGCTACCGCGTGACACGACTTCGTAGGGTCCATCGTATGGAGGCTGCAAGGGCTTCCGTACAGCATCATTGCGGAGAAATACGTGGGAACATGAGTGCAGTTCTTTGTGGATAAATGGGTTGCGATAGGAGTGGTGCACAACAGGCACTGGTTTTAAGTTCGCCATCATCGTTCTGAGTTTTTCGACGAAAGAACATGGATTGATGTCCTGAGAACCTGGGACGAAAAATTCTCCAGGCAATCGGAGGCTGGTGCCATAGATCATTTCAGCTGCAGTAATATTGGTGTCTTCACGAAGCGCAGTTCGCAATCCTAACAAGACTGTAGGTAGTACTTCCGTCCACCTGTCAGTAGAGTGGCATTTGATGGCAGTTTTAAGTGAACGATGAAAGCGTTCAACAATGCCATTCGCAATTGGGTGGTATGCTGTTGTCCTAACTCTTTTGGCACCAAGAAGTTGAGTGAGGGATTTGAATAGGCTAGACTCGAATTGACGTCCTTGGTCAGATGTTATTTGGGCAGGCACTCCAAAGCGAGATATCCAACCTGAATATAAGGCTGAAGCTACTGTTTCAGCCGCTATATCTGGCAACGGGATTGCCTCAGGCCAACGAGAAAATCTATCGATGATTGTGAGGCAGTATGTTGAGCCGTTGGAAGGTGGCAATGGACCAACAATATCAATATGAATGTTTAAAAATCTAGCGTCTGGAATAGGAAAGGTTCCCAAAGGGCTAGCGACATGTCTCTGGATTTTCGACCGCTGACAAGAAATGCAGGTGCGAGACCATGTCTGGCAGTCTTTACTGATGGACGGCCAAACAAATTTTGCTTTTACCAATCTGGTTGAGCCCCTTACACCTGGATGGGACAGGTTATGGACAGTGTTGAAAGCAGTGCGACGATAATTAGGTGGAATGTATGGACGAATGCGACCTGTCGATACATCACAGTAAATTTCGACATCACTATCAGGAAGTTTAAACTTCTTAAGTACAAGTGATGAGTCACTTGAAGTCAGGAGAGACTGGAGCTCAGGATCTTGCTGTTGGTCTTTTGCAATTTTGCTATAATCTATAGATGGGCTACTAATTGATTCAATACGGGAGAGAGCATCAGCTGGAACATTATCGATTCCCTTTATGTGTCTGATGTCTGTCGAGAATTGTCCTATAAAGTCGAGATGTCTCAACTGACGGGGTGTACATTTGTCGTGTCGTTGCTGGAAAGCAAACGTCAATGGTTTATGGTCTGTGTAAATGGTGAACTGTCGTGCTTCCAGCATAAATCGGAAATGTTTCACAGCCAAATACACAGCCAGAAGTTCTCGGTCGTATGCAGAATACTGACGCTGAGAGTTACTCAGCTTGCGGGAAAAGAACGCCAGTGGCTGGAGACCTTGTGCTGTAACTTGATGAAGGGCAGCGCCCACAGCAGAATCAGATGCATCGACGTGAAGTGCAAGGGTAGCACTTGGTGAAGGATGGTGTAGTAAGGTGGCTTCTGCTAATTGTGATTTACATGACTCAAATGCCTGAATAGAATTGTCAGTCCATTTAATCTCACGTTGGTCGTTTTTCTTTGCTCCTTTAAGTAGGTCGTGCAAAGGAGCTTGGTGATGGGCCGCATTGGGTAGGAACCTACGATAGAAGTTCAAGATGCCCAAGAACCTTCTCAGTTGTTTGAGGGTCTGTGGTCGCTTCTGTTGAGTTACGGCAGATACACGTTCCGGAAGTGGCATAATGCCGTGGGGAGACACCATGTATCCTAAGAATGATACATGTGAGGCAGCAAAAGTACACTTGGATGCATTGATTTGCAGACCGTACTTGTCTAGGCGTTGAAACACTTGCCGCATGTGCATCTTATGTTCCTCCCACGAAGTGCTAGCGATGAGGATGTCATCTAGGTATGAAAAGCAGAAGTTTAGGCCTCGCAGAACTTCATGCATGAATCGTTGAAATGATTGGGCTGCATTGCAGAGACCAAAAGGGAGGAAAATGAATTCAAATAGCCCAAATGGCGTCGTAATGGCTGTCTTTGGCACATCATCTGGGTTAACTGGTATATGATGGAAGGCCCTAACCAAATCGATCTTGGAAAATATTCGAGCTCCGTGTAGATTTTGACCAAAATCGTGGATGTGTGGCACTGGATAGTGATCGGGAACAGTTATCCTATTCAGGGCACGGTAGTCTCCCGTAGGTCTCCAATCGTTACGGCCCTTCGGCACCATATGGAGGGGAGAAGCCCAGTTGGACTTTGATGGTCTGCATATACCTAGCTCCATCATGTGCTGGAATTCTTGCTTTGCTACTTGCAGTTGAGCCGGGTGCAATCTACGAGGTTTAGCAAATACGGGTGGACCGTGTGTCTCGATATAATGCACTGTGTTGTGCCTGACCTTATCTGAAAACGGTCGAGGACGAGTGAGATGTGGAAAGTCCTTGAGGATATCCTGCATTGGGGAATTGCTGATTATAGTTTTGACTGAAGTAGGTGGTCCTGTATAATATCTTCCTCGTGTAGTAAGGGAAGTCAGGGGGTCAACCAGTAATCTGTTTCTGATGTCGAGAATGAGTCCAAAGTTGGCCAAAAAGTCTGCACCGATTATAGGCTTCTGCACATCAGCTATGGTGAATTCCCATCTGAAAGAACGTCTTAAGTTGAGGTCAAGTTCTAGCACTTTTGTTCCATACGTCGAGATTTTAGAGTCGTTGGCAGCATACAATTCAACCTTTGTAGGCTGATTCTTAGTGCGGTTGGGAATGATCGATAAATCTGCTCCAGAATCAATTAAGAAATTTAGGCCAGTTTTGTTGTCATACACAAACAAACGGCTATATTTAGGAGCCAGACTGGACCCACAGGCCGTTACTGCGGCTGGCTGCTCTCGTTTCCCTGATCAGCAGTTCGATTAAAGGAACACGGCGAACGACATTTCCAAGCAGCTGATCCAAACTTACTGTGGTAGTAACAATATCCCTGACGACTGAGGCTTCTTCCCCGAGAGCGTGAACTAACGCGGTGCCTCGAATTCGGGTTATGTCGGTTTCTCTCTCTACTACGATAACGGGGACGAGCAGTACGCGATACATTAAGTTCTGCAACCTTCTTTGTGAGTTCTAAAATCTGCAGTTCAAGGTTTTTGATTACGGGATTTTCGTCTTTCAAGTTGATGCTGGCCAGTTGGGTTGGTTCTGTAAGTTCAGCAACCTTGTCAGCAAGGATGGCTAGCTTGTCTAGTTCATCACTGCTAACAGCCAATACGGTCTGAATATTTTTGGGGAGACGTTGGAGCCACAAGTTTCTAAGAAATTCTTCGGTAATTTTGCCCGCTGAAAGCTCCCTCATTTTACGGAGTAAAACGCTGGGTTTCTGATCCCCTAACGCCAGATCTTCAAGCAGAATTTTAGCCTCTTTAGCAGCGGAGTTCTGGAAAATTTCGAGGAGTCGATCTTTAAGTTTAGAAAACGGAGCCTCGGCTGGACGGTCAAATACTAAGTCACTAACATTAGATAGAATCTCCGCGTCCAGGGAATTGATTAAATAGTTGTACTTAGTGTTCTCACTTGTAATCCGATTAATGGCAAAAGCCGCGTCTAGCTGCACAAAAAATAATTTGATGTTGGTTTTAGTAAAGATAGGCATTTTTGCCTGTACACGTCCGATTTCCAACTCGTTCTGTTCCGCCATTCCGGGCGCTTAACTATGCGGCTACAAAGAAAGCGGGATAGTCTTGGATAAAGCTTAGCCTGAGTCACGTACTCCTAGTCTTCGGTAAGATTTACCCACCGTCTTCCTATCGAATTTACGATTTAGAAACTGATCATACCTGCATATCCTGTTAAAAAAGTTCCATCATAGACACAGAGTTGTTCGCTATCCAATTCAGTCGAAAGTCCAGGTAGTTCATTAATCGGATCACGTTCGGGTCACCACTTTGTCATTCAATCCTACTGATGTTTAGATCTAACATTAAGCAGGCAAACGCGAACAGTAACAAAAAAGAACTTTATTAGAAAAGGTTAGAACTGTCACACACATCCTCGGGCAACACCCGGACAAAATCCAACGAACTTTCGCGCCTTTTCTTTTCTGACGTTTTCAGCCACTCTTGTTGGCAAGTGTTGCCAGTCAGAGTTCGTGATCTTGGCAAGTGTTGCCAGACAGTGTTCAGGATCTCTGGCGCTGGCGGCCACAAACTAAACGATACGACCGACGATAATTGTTAAAAACCGCGAGACGGGGGAAAGGTCCGGGGTCTACGGTTTTGGTTGGAAAACGGCGAAAAACTTTCGACATTGTTTCGGGCGCGTAAATGAAATTTTATTCTAGTATTTGCGCGATTAAACTTAATTTCGAAGACTTATTAGCGACGTAATTAATGATAAATAAGTCACTTTTCTAACATTCTAACGGCTCGATGTATAAAAGTATCTTAAATATATATTGCCAATTACTCTACCGGAAGAAAATCCCGTGGAAGAAGCTTCCGTATCAATTTTTATAATTTTTTTTTAAAATAAAACAAAAGTTGGTTTATCGCGGTGTTAATATTAAACTGTCCGTCGCTACGACTTAATNGGGGGATCATTTTTCCACCGATCGCTGTTTTTTCTCCGTTACGTACAACGGCCGGGAAAGATTGCCAATTACTCTACCGGAAGAAAATCCCGTGGAAGAAGCTTCCGTATCAATTTTTATAATTTTTTTTTAAAATAAAACAAAAGTTGGTTTATCGCGGTGTTAATATTAAACTGTCCGTCGCTACGACTTAATATCGCGATAAAATGCTATCGACTCGAAGGTATCGGAATATGCAAAAGTAAAAATCCAACTCGGTAGTAATTTGGAGGATTTGTTCCGGTCCACGTATTCCGTAATTCCGATTTTCCCCCCTCCGAACTATATCTACAAACGTTTCGAAACGGTCGCTGTTTTCGCGAAATAGGAAAACCAGCCTTATCCGAGGACGTTTTCCGATAAGAGCGCGCTCCTTTCGGGGAAGGACTTAAATTACACCCGACGGAAGATTTTTATGCCGTACCTTTAACGTTAACGGAAAGAGATATTTAACGACGTACGTAGATTCGGTGTTAGTAATTCGCCGCGTAAATTACTTATACCCGTTTTTCGCTTTAAGAAATTCCTCCCGAAGAGCTCGGTTAAACGAAAGTTTTCTTAAATTTAACAATTAGAAAATCGTCCGAAGATCAAATAAATACGGAGTACGAGACGATTTCTTTATTACGAAACTTTATTTTTATTAAAACACATAAAACACGCGCGGAGGAAAATTTCACAATTTTCTAAATTAAAACGCTTCGTCGCGTAGTTCGAATAAAAAACCGTCGTAACGAACGAGAAGATTGGAATGCCCGTGGCGGCCGGTGTCCGGTCGGAGACCAAAGATATTTTAATACCAGGACGAGAACGGGAGGATTTCTCGGAACGTAACGCCGATAGATTTACAACTTGGCCATATAATAGGCGATTCCTCCGTGGCTTTCGGCCAGAATGGCGTAATGAGAATAAACGCAACTGTAACAATATAACTGTAACAATAATAAGACACAATTAAATACTCGACCCGACGATATTTACGTTTTTCGTTTAAAAACTTACGTGGAAAACGACGGAAAATCCCGCAATCACCATCCTGGCCACGGACGCCTATTCGATAATAAACATTAATAATTACAATTTCGTTCATATAGGAAAATATTTAGAGACGCAAAAAATCGAAATTCGGTAGTATTTAATTACGCGTAATTAACGCCAAGAAGCCGTTATTCTAATTACGGTCCTTCGTACTCCCCGACGCGGTATTTCGGATTAGCGATACGGCTGGGTAACATCCGACAGAAATATATTTGATTCGGGGAGGAAGAGAAGCCGGTACGAAATAACGGCTTCTTTAGCCTCGGTCTTAATTAACCAACGGCCCGTTTCGAACCTCTTATTTAACAATTTTAATGATTAATAATATAATAAATGTACTTACGACGTTGGCTTTTACCGCTGCCATGCTGGAAACGAATAAAGCGATTTGTCCGACGACGGCCACCGCGTTCCAAATCATCCAAGGTATCAGACAATAACGGTGGTCCTGAAGCGGAAATTTAACATTTACCCCGGGCTAATCGCTAAGTAATTTATACTTCGAAGGCGATTAATAAAATTCCTCCCGGGTATTTTAAAAATTAAAGCCACTAGATTATATTTTGGCCCCGTTTAAGACGGGAGGAAATTCGAAGAGAGATTTAGACGGCGCACTCACCCTTTTAACTCCGTAGAGTAAAATTAGACTGGTTAAAAAACACACCGCGCCCCACGCCAGAAGAATGGCCAGGCATACTCGGAGGGAGTGGGCATCGATTCCTGCGACGGTAAAAGTAGCCGTTCGATTAACTTGCGCTTTATCGAAAATTAAGAGAAGAATATTAAAACGTTTTCGCGCGATGAGCGTAACGGGTGGCGACACCCGCGCGGGCAAAACGGGTTTTCTTGGCGCGGGTTTTGAGGATTTTCTATCCCGTACACGAAATAGAAAATCCTCGAAACCCAATACCCATCCGGTCCGTAATTACCCGGGAACGACTCTGTAGCTTTGACGGGTAGTAATTTAATGTCTGGTATAAGCCGCGTAGGCAAAAAGTAACGATAGCCCGCATCGTTTCTAAGTGGAAGAATTAGGCGCGGAAGTTTAATTTGTGAGTATAAAAAAAATTGCGAATGCTAATAACCGGCCACCCTACCGCGGACGCGCCGCCTCGTCGACTTTTTAATCACCGAAATTTAACGGCGTCCATCCTCCTAATAAACGAACTTCCCGGCAAAATTTCGGCAGTTTTCGACGGAATGCGCGGGAGTTAATAAGCTTCGAACGGGGCGAACGAAATCGCCCCCTCCGCACTAACGTCTTTACGCGCAGAAATTACCCTCAATTCTTTCTTATTTCGCATTTCGTCGTTTTAAGTCCAAAAATGTAAAAATCTTGGGGGATCATTTTTCCACCGATCGCTGTTTTTTCTCCGTTACGTACAACGGCCGGGAAAGTAAAAATAAAGACGTTTTTCCCATCCATCATTTACGTATCGTAAATTACCAAAAATTATTCGTAAATTTTACGCATAAAATGTAAAAAACAGGGATCCGTACGTAAAAGAAGGAGGGTAATAACGTATAATCTGTTTAAAAACTTACGTAAGAAGAGAGGAAGTTTACGCCCGGGACGAGGATGGGGCGAAAGAGCGCGGTAAAACCCGGAAAGCACCCGCGTTAAAAAACGGAATGGCCCGGGCTAATTTATGAAAAGTCTTTTCCGAGAAAAACGTTACTTCCACTTAAACAGATCCTTTCTTACCGCTAATCGAAGTTTACGCCACGAAGTATTCCTTCGAATAATCGAGTAGTCGGAAAGAAGACCGCCGCGTAGACCGAGGACGGGCTACGTAAGGGCCGCGTACGAGAGAAAAAAAGGGGGAAAGGACGGTAAATCGCCATTATTTATTCATATATAATTATAAATTAGCGCGGGTATACTTAATTTAGCTTCCGAAACCGACGTAAACGTAATATTTCGGAAATATTCGGTTAAATTTTAGTCGCCGCTAGTTATAAATTAGTTTCGTTAGCCGTTTCTCGTTTTAACTTTTACCGAAAAACTATTCGCGGGGTTAGAAAATAACCTTTGAACTTTTGCCGCGCGCTTTTTTACGGATAAACGCGTTCAATTCCTCCGAAACGTAATTAGTCGGAGTCGACGTAAGATATTTCTTACACTGGCCACCGTCGCGCCACAAAATGGCCGCTTAACCGTACGCCGAGTCCGCGCAATTAATCTACGCAACACCGAAATTGCTCGGTAGTATCCCGTGTTCTTTCTATTTTTAGGCGATATCGTAAATAACGATTAAATTAAAATATCTGGCGGAAGAAATTAGCCCGACGGATAGTTCTCCTCCCCTGGGCCCGGGGTCGGAAAATCCGATCGGGTGGGAAAAACTAGTCCTTTCGCCCCCGGCCGGTACGCTAATACTCCGTAGGTGCTTTTCCTCCGCACGGGCGATTACGTATAACTCCGAATAAGTCGGAAACTATTTCGGACAAAAGGAGCCGAACGTCGACCCGAATTCCCCCGGAAAGTCGGAGACGAAAACTACGAAGAAAACGCGGGTTTCCCGACTTTAAACTAAAATCCGGTGGCGTTAAATCTCGGATTTACTAAATTTATAACGTCGTTTCCTACAAGCCGGAAAACCGGTAAAATCCATCCCGACATTTACGTAAGACGGCGTTTAAGAGGGGAGGAGACGTTTAAGCGTTGTCCCGGAACGTCGGCGATTGTCGGAGTGGCTGAAGTACGAGGAAACGGACGGAACGAAAGCCTTCGTTTTCCCACTTATTACCGCCGACTTAGGCAATACGTTTCCGCTAAATGTCTTTAATATCGTCGTAAGTAATTCTTCGGATTCGTAAGTCGGAAATAGGTTAAATGTTAGTTATTTCTACTTAATTCTAACTAAAATCACCTGTTAAAAAGGGACGACGGACGTAACTTTCCACGTCGGAATATGCGAGTATAACCGCGCAGGCCACCGACGACAGCAAAGACGTAATCTAGAAATTATTGCCACCATTACCTTTCGTAATTTACAAATATGGCTCGTTTTACGCGCGGCCATTTGCGTAACTCACCGACGTGTACACTCCCGTGGCCAAAGTTCCGTCTTTAACGTTACTAAAACAGCAGCAAGAATCTATTCGAACGCACATGTTCACCCCACCGTCGACGACGAAAACGTATCGCGGTAACGTGACGGGGAAAAAGGAACCGGTCCGGGAAAGTCCCCCGTGACGTCTCTAGCGGGAAACGATTTCTCCATTGTTCCCTACCGGTGTAAAATACATTGTATATTTTTTGCGGTTAATTTATTTATTAATTACCCGCTAATTATTATTTTTATAAATTAATTTATTTTTTTATTATCCGTTCGCTGGCCGGTAGGTCGGTAACGTTTATCATTGGACGAAATTCGACCGGGAAAAAGTTCTATTAAAAGCTTTTGTTTGTCTTTTAAGATAATTTGTTTTTTATTCCTCGGTAAAACTTCTTCACCGCTCTTAATTTATAAATTAATAATCGGGAAAGACCACCCCAAAAATTCGTATTCGGATCGTCGATTCCCGTCGTTTACGTCGGACGTGTTCCGACACGTTATGGACCGATTCCCAGATATTTACGTAAAATTCGTGCAAAACTGCGGAATGTCGAAAGAATATTTTTATACGGGTTATTCCGACGTCAACGTGTTTTAAACCTTTGAATATTTAAAGACGTATTACGTAAAAGTTTAAAATTTTAGTCATCGAAGTTATAAAATGGACGTCCGGGATCGAATATACACCGAGATAATCGAAAGGTCCGCGCCAACGGACGGCACTTCGGAAAGGAAGCGAAAGAAAACGATAATAACCGCCACAAAAGCTATAGGAACGGTATCGTATTCGGTGTATTTTACGATTATAAAATTCGTTAAAAATAAATTCTTCGATCGAACTCGAAGTAGCGAAAAATAGCGGACATTCGGTAAGGAAATTGTAGAAGGCGGATGCGTAACCAGCGCGTTTCGTTTCTATTGTTTTCTAACAAATAGGATTCGTCGTCACAATCGTCGCCGGAGTTTTGTTTGGCGCAAGAGGAAAGACGTTTCGTTTTTTCGGAGGAATTGCGCGGCTAACCATCGTAAAAATCCGCGGGAAAACGAAGAGGATGTGCATTCGCCTTCAAAGATACTGCCCGTGCGACATTACCTTCGCCTCGTATATTATCGGAATCGTATCCGTCGTAAGTAATACCCGATGGCCGGATTACGTAAAAACTGAAATTCTAGTAAATAATTTGTAAAAATACGGGACCGTTCGAGTATTCGGGTAATTTTTTTCCGACGTAATACCGGAAACACCTTACGCGTTTATTTTAAGAATTTTTAACACCTGGCTGGCGTTTATATCGACGAAGTAGTAAAAATTTTATATAAGGACATTTTAAATCTATATCTATAAAAATATATATAAATAGACGCGTTTGTGCCTATATTTCAGTCCGCAGCCAAAAGTACGCATCGCGCACGAATGGTGTTTGCGTGCGGTAGTAGCCCCGAGTCTTCTATAGTGCGCTACGGTGGTCGCGTCTCGATAGCTACGAGGGTGCGAGATACGGGGTTTGAAAGCGGTCAAATTCGAAAATGTGTGACGCTTCGATGAGAATGTTCCATTTTCCGAATAAAGAGGAAAAACGCCCAGTGTTTAATTAATAACACAGTCTTGTGTTTAATAGTCGAGAATGTTCCAGGCTTTTCTAGAAAGTTCCAGAACCTAGAGGTGAAATTTGGTACGCAGTTAGGGTACGTGGCGAAAACGCGCGCTTAAAAGGAATTTTTCGAAATTCCCCCGCGGGGGGAGAGGGAGAGCGTTAATTAATTAAGGCTTAACGCAGGGGTGTCCAACCTTTTCGTTTCTCTGGGCCGCATTGGAAGAAATCAAGGAGTTTTGGGCCACAAGTATAGGCCCTATAATATATACTTGTGGCCCAATATACAAGTATATTTAAGGATTAACGTGTCTAGATTATAATAATAAGTATTAAAACTTTATCACAAAAAAGGATGTTTTGAAGAATTACTTGTACGGACACTTTCAATTTTTACTTAGAAATAGATAAATTCATTTATTATAAAAGAGAAAAACGAAAATTTATTTAAAAAAACACAAATATTTGTTTTATTTGGGTCTCTAATTAATAAAAAGCGCCAAATAATATTTTTTACGTCAAACAAAAGAAAGTAGCCACATTTGGCGCAATGTAGCCAAATCTTGCAACGTTGGAAGAAATAATAAATAAAGCTGGAGTTGTGACTCAAATGCGGGGGAAAGGAGAGAAAGGACAAAAGATAAAAAAGTGAGAAAGGTTGGAAAATTAAGGATCAATATTTGCATAACAGAAGGTCTATTTAACCTTTCTCACTACTTTTTATCATTTGGCCTTTCTTTCCTTTCCCCGAATTTGAGTCCACACTCCTTTGAGTCACAACTCCAGCTTTATTTAGTAATCCTTCCTCATTCACACATTTCCAAGTATTTGAAAATATTTCCTTTCCACTCAAAAATAAAATACGAATAAAGGTTTACGGCTTTGTGAAACTTCTTTTTTGAGTTTACGCCGTTGAAATAAATAAATAATAATAAAATTAAAACATTTGTCGGTTTTGTTTACACGTTTATTGGCCGCATTGGAACTTACCTCGGGCCGCGGGTTGGACACCCCTGGCTTAACGATCGTAAGCGTTCCAGAAAATCGATCGAATTAAAAACGGTTCGTTTGATTTCGATCAATTCTCATCATTCTCGGCGGTAGGTGTTAAATAACAATTACTACGGTTGTCGAAATAACGAATGTAAATAGGGTTTGCCGGCAAAATCGGCGCCAGCGAAGCTAGTAAGTAAATAAATATTTAAATAACAGCCGTTCGTTCGGCACAAATCTTAACAAAAGACGATTATTGTACTTATTTCTGTATTTCCAGGTATATTTCGCGGCCAAGATACTCTTATACTGTTACATCATCGCCACGTACGAAGACGACGAAGAATTTCTGAAAGACAAAAGTCGTGAGTGATAACGCTTTCGTTTTTAAGCCGACGAAGAAAGGCGGTGTCCCGCAATTACGCCGGACGCCAGAGGAAATTTCGTTAATATTTATTTTCAGCTTACGACGTAAAAGGGATTAAAGCCACCATAGCCGTACAGTTGATGGTTTACGTATTTTCCTTCCTGTTCAGCGTGCTCATGGTATTAGGAGTGAAACTGGTAAAGTATTTTCCCCTTTTAAAATTACCGATACGGTTTATAAATAATAATTTGCCACGCGGTATACAAAGTTAGACTTAATTAAAGTTACGAAGAGAAATTCACTTTGGATTTTACTTTCAGGAAGACCACGAATTAATACGTCCCTGGTTAATAATGGCATTTCTCTACCTGACCGTACGAGTGGTTCCGGTCGTTTACGGCCTTTATCGAGTGAGCTAAACTTTAAATTCCCACTACAAGTTCGCAATTTTTACTCCGGTAGAAAACAAAACTGGCGCGCTTTAATAGAACTTCCTTTCTAGGGTCACGCGACTCTGGCGGCAGTCGACTGGGTGGACCCGTTATTATCGGTTGGTATAATTTCCGATTTCTGTGGGGCCGGGCGAAATTACGGCGTTAACCTTTAGGCAATTGGCAGGCTCTTTCCTTCGTTTGCGTCTATTCCGTTTACAAAGATATCGAAGAATACGGTTATTGAAACGCCTGTCGTCGTCTTCTCCACCCCGACGGGCGGAAACCTCGGCCTAATAAATTTGTAAAGATATTTTAAAAATAAATTTACTTAGATTACGACTTAAGTCTTCCGCCTGGTCCCCTCCGTATATTTTTTTGGTTCGACGTCGCCCGAGTCTACCGCTCGACCGGGCGTTCCAGGATGCGGGAGCGAATAAAGAACAGTTTTAAATAATATTTATTAAGCGCTTTCTCGGAATAAAAAATATAAAAGGCAAAAGATTAGTACGGGATATTTAACAACGGATAGAATTAAAACACAATTATTCGTTTTATTCCGTAATTACATGGAATTTTTCCAAAATAAAGGTCATAAATATATAAATAAAAATAATGTAGATAAAAGTCTAATTTCTATACATAATTGGGCGCGGACCTACCACGTCCGACGCCGGTAATTATACGATACGACTTTAATCGTTAATAGGAAAGACGAACTTAAAACGAAATCGGACGAAAACGGAAGGTCCGCCGTAACCCAATTTCGTAATTCCTTCCTTTCGGCTTTACCATCGTATATTAAAGCCACCGTTTAATAACTGGAAAACGAGTAAAATATTGTTATTTAATTTTAAAAATTCTTTTTAAATTTAAAAACCTTTACAAAAATAAAAATTTGTTTATTCCTGGTAATATTATAAAAATACGCCGCGACGGCTCTTAAAATCGTTAAGAATTCATCGTTTTTCGCGTATTTACGTTACGTTTTCGCCATCTTTTCGCAAATATTAGTTATACACCGAATAAACGGTAAAATTACCGACTTTTAACGGGTATTCTACCATTTTCTACCAGAAAATTTGTAAAAATAGTACATTTTTCGTCGAATTTCTCTAAAAATTTCGATTATTATAAAAAAAAAGGATTAAAATTGAATGTACTTTTTCGAACAACGGACGTTTCCCGACGATCGGAAGCGTGTATTTTAAGACAGAAAGCGTCGGAAAGAATTACAAAGGGCCGCTGATGTTTTTAATTTTGTGAAATCTCGCTCTCGACTCCTCTTCTTCTTGCAATAATTTATATTGAGAATACACGCATCGGAAACAATAGAGCTAAAGATAAAAAAGTGCATTTTTAGAATTAAAAAGTAATCGTGGTTAAATAAATTCGAACGTCGACGGGATACGAATTCCAATTACTTACGTTCAAACAGAAGGACAACAAGAAGAAGAAAGCCTGTATCAGCTGCATCTGGAAATACACGCGAAAAGTTTCGGAATTTAGGTAAACGTCGGGCTTAGAATTCGTTACGTTTTCCGAAAATTCTTAGCATAAATCCCTTAATTGTTTTCCTTTTTCGTCAGATCCCGCCGGACCCTGGTGGGGTTGGGGAAGTTCGGCCGCAAACCGGCTTCTTCCTACTCCCCGTTTAATACGTCGACGCGAAATTCCGCGTATTTTAGGAAAACGTAACCGGAATTACGTTCGTCTTCGACCTCCGACTTTTCGCCCGTTTCGCGGATCGGAGGGTGAGGAAACGTCTGTATATTTTATCTCCTTACTTACAAAACTAAATGGGTGGCGTATAATTAAATGCTCTCGGAGAGAATCTAATAAACGTTAAACGTCCGGTGGGCATTTACGGACTTACCGGATTTCTGATGGCGGCAATGATGGCAAAAATTACGTAAATGACGTGCATGACCAATACGAAAATGATCCAGACCATCCAAGGTATCAACAGGAAGCGATTATCCTGAAACGGGATAAATGCGTTTAATTATAAATACTATTTTTTTGGCGGAGGCGGAGGCTAATCTATATCTATACTAATATTATAAAGAGGTAATGTTTGTAAGTATGTAAGTTCGTATGCAGCGGGTAATCTCGAAACTACTCGTCCGATTTCAAAAATTCTTTCACCAATATTTACAATGGAACTTTGGGGGTGGACGTAAGCTGTATATTATTCCGTTAAACATTCGTATAAATTAAAGTATATAATCTAGGTTAAGGCTTTTACGTCCAACGGATGGCGCTACGAATCCGACGCCCTAAGTTTGCTTTTCTGCCAGGCATTACGCTTTTCTGTGAAAATGAACTAAAGCGGATCATCTTCTATCTGTCTATATAAATAAAAATGTAATGTTCGTTTGTTCCTACCGATTCCTTTGAAATAAAGACACAACGCCGCATTCGAATACGCGCGTGTTTTTGTATAATATACGTGTCGAAATCCCCCCGGGGGGATGGACGGTGATTAAGGCTTACCGTGAAGAACTTGGCTTCTATTATACTATTTCAGATGCGTTTTTTTTTTGCGTTTATGATTGCGTTTTATATAATAGGGTACGTCGAGAAAATGTACGCTAATGGATTTTTCGAAAAATCCCCCCCGGGGGAAGTGTTATACATTTATAATAGATACAGTACATTTTGAGACGCAACAACGCGTGGCGGAGTCCGCTAGTCCGTAATAATTAAAGAAGAAAAAGATCGTTTTACTTTAATCTTTCGTACAAAACCGTAATTCGAGTATTCGAGTAGTAAAAACACCGCGGCGACGGCGGACAAGCCCATCCCCGCCGTCCGCCGGTTTAACTAACTGGCGAAATAGCGCGCGGGTGTCTTCCCGGCAACAGCCTCTTTCCGTAGGTAAACTTAATAACGACGGGAAATTAGGAATATTTGGACGGAAGAATTAGCGAGGATTACTTACTTTCTTGACTCCGACCAGTAACAATAGACTGATCAAGAACAACAATATCGCCATGGACAGGTGAATGATGGAGGAAATCCTCATCACGTCGTATACGGCTGAAACGGGTAAATACGTCTCTTAGTCGGATAAAAATAAAAGTTATATTACGGAGAAGGAAATAATCCGACATTTTTTAATTACTTTTATTAGCATTTAATTCCCGGGCACGAGCCATTAACTACGTTAACGCGCAATTTTCGAACGGCGGTCGTCGTCCTTCCGGAGACGAAATCCAGACCGGAAGCGGCGCCGCTGGCATTGGAAACTTTCGTCCCACCGCGTACAACCGCCGAGTAGGTATACAATCGACCTTTACGATAATTTAAATTAAAACGTCATTAAAGATGGCGGCCAGGCAATAAGTAAATTCGAATTCTTCTTATTACTATTTCCCGTTTTCTATTCGTATTACGCGACCGTCTGGTGACTAGACTTAAACCCGAGGTGACGAAGCGTATAAAACTATAAAAACATGTTTTTTAAAAACAATTAACCAACGTCATTTATTTAACCGTATTTGACTTAAATATTCCGAGTGGTAAACGGACGGATCGTCGGTAATTCGTTTACGAACGAAACGGGCAAATGTAAACGGATCGATTACCGCCTCTCGAGTAACAATTTAAACGGTTTTACGTAACGCCATTGCCTCCTCGACTATAATTTTCTCTTTGTTCCGGCCAGAGAAGGTGGGAGGCGACGGCGATTAACCTTGAGCGGCTACTCCCAATCTCTTCTATTAAAGACCCGGCTTTTTTACCGATATTTCTCTACTTTCTAATTAGGAAGTAAGAAGTGGCCCGGGTCTTCCGCGCCGCGCCTGGTCCGTAAAGTTGCCAATCGGTCGTATCCTTCGTCTAAAACACCCGACTTTGGCGTCGTATTTTTAAGAATATAAATACGCGGAAGCGAAGAATTCTCGTGGTTATAAAGTCTTATGGCTTATAATTGTATCGATAGAATCGTATAAATACGTATTAACGCGTCGAGTGTTACGTATCCGTTCGGAGGGCCCCGCATTTCAGATTTAAATATAATTAACAAATATTAATTTAAATATACGTTTTTCGATATTTCCAATCGACTTTGCCGTAAATTTCCGAGAAATAATTATTTCCTTCCCTCGACGAATTACTTTTTACCGAAATTTATTACTCCGGATTAACGTTATTCGTTTTTAACAATTCCCAACTTAAAGTATTAATTAATTAATTGGACGATTTTCTTTACTAGTTAATTACTCGGATTACGTTTATTAACGCAATTATTTAATTCGGTTTAATTTTATACGAAATCGGATCCGTCAGAGCGCTTCGACCGGATTTTTTCCTCGGAACGTCCGTTGGCTTCCTCCGACTTCGTTTACTTTTCCTTCGAATTCTCTCTTCGGCTCGTATTTATAAGCGGAAAAAACCCGGAAAACCCATCGATGGGGTGTTTATATTTTGTCATTTCTCGAGAGGAAAGGTTATTTAAAGAATGGTGGCGCGGAGTTTCGCTATTCTTATCTTTGTCCCCGTAATGACTAAGAAAATGCGATTAGATCGTTCGGGAACTGCTCTAATTTAGCTTTACCGGTTTAATAATAAACAGATTGGACGGGTAGACGTATAAAGGTTACGCGCGTAAATGTCGATGACATCACGCGCGTGGGACTAACGACAAAAAATTGGGTATGGATAAGAGGTATCGGACCCACACGCGCAACGTCGCCCACCTCCCGGATAATTTACGAAGAAACCGGCCTGGTTTTCCTTCTTAGTAATTCTTCCTTCGTCCGTACGTCCGCAGAATGCGGAACGGGGTCCGAGCGGTCCGACCACTACGGGTTAACCGACGCTACCCGTCACCGCACCAAGTTATATCGAAACGACAATAATCTAGGGAATAAAAAGTAATTAACTTGTTAAGTTATAGAGAAGGAATTCGGCGTAATTACGAAATTTTTCACCGCCGTAACGCCATCCGCTTCAAATTCGGTGGGATTTTAATCGTACTTAAACGCGCTTCGTCTTCCTTTCTAGCGTAAATAAAAGAAGTCGTCGTCATTCGCGCAACGACTTCCGTTTAATACCGTTAAAAACGGGTCGTTGCGGTGTAAGAGACGTAGGTGTAAAGCCTTTCTTTACTTTATAAATTAGAAATCGAAACCCTTTTAAACTTATAATCTACGTCGAGGTAGCGACGAAAAGCGAAAACGACCAAAATACACCGGACAGAAAGAAGGTCGGGGATATTCCGGGACCGGACGACGCTTCTCTCGTAAAGCGTATTATTTTAAAACATGGAATTTTAAAGGGACGAATATTAAAAACGTCGTCAAACGCGCGATATACAAAGTTCTAGTCGATTTGTTTACGTCGGTGAATAATTTATTTATAACTGGTTGGAGCGAATCCAAGAACAACCGAAGGATCTCCGTCATCGATTAATTACAATCTGGCGGCGGTTCCTTTGATATTTTTGCATTTTCTAAGTGCGGGAAGTACGCGTATCGAATGTAATAACCAAGGTTAAGAAGAGTTACGGAACGGTGTAGCGTTTCGAGAACGGGCCGGTGAATGAAGTACAGTTTAAACGCGCGCTAGTGTTACGACGACGTTTGGCCGGGGGCGAACCGGGATCGAGGTCGAGACGGGAGCGTACGGAGAGTTAAATAGAAGGTAGAGGTAGAAGAATATCGGAAAGATTGTAAAACTCGACACTTACAATAGAGGTTAATAAGTGAAGAGGGATCAAGGTCTGTACGCGGTTACGTTGGAAAACAAATGCCGACGGCGGTACCGCACTTTTGGACGCCTTACAATTATCATTATTTTCCTACGTAACTCGTTTGTTGGCCACCTTATATTCCTTCCGACTGTAACACGGGATGTAAATTATATTTTCCGTATCTTCGTCTTATCCTAAACATCCGTAACGCGTAAACGTTACGTAATTATTACTGTTTAAACCATCACTTATAGAATATATAAATATTTATGGAGTAATTACGTCGGAATTTGTTTCTCGATAAATTCTCGCGGAGATTCCCGGAAGGAGCGTAAATACCTCCTTTGTAGCCTCCGCGTTCGAACGACTAACCGGAAACGCGGCGGCATCGAATCGGTTAATTTAAATAAAACAAAATTACCGCGCGTAGGATGGTCAAATGTTATTTTATATTGAAACAGTATCTAATTTATCGATCTCCGACAGTTACAAAATGCGAATTCTTCGTCCAACTTTTTAAAACGTAACTAAATAAAGGTTGGCGTATTTGTTTGTTTTTGTACACCGAACGTTCCCAATCGCTTAAAAACGTTGTAAATATACAAAAATGAGTTTATATATTTTTAGAACGTATCCAAAAATTGCCGCTACGCCTTTAAAACCGTATAAAGTGTAAACAAACACGGCGGAATACACCCCTGTACTTTTAAATAACCGGGATACATAAGGTGGAAACCGGCGGATTTCGAGTTTGATACCTTCAAAAGTTGTAAATACGAGAAAAGGGGGGTAGTTGGGTGGGTTTGGAGAGCGAATACTTCGTGGCATAAGTGGATATAATGTTTGTCCCACTTACAAATATTGGGTTACATTCCCGAATACCCAAAGTACCTTTTATTCTCCTACAAATTAGGTTTCATTAATTATAAATTCTCTAAACTTAACGCGTTTAAAATTAGGTTACGACCGGTACGAGTCAATGAAAAAGACTTTTGGAACGTTTGGCGACCTCCAAAAAACACTCCGAAGTTACGTAATTTCTGCGTTAGGGAGATGCTATAATTAAATTCTTACACGGATATTTTTTACCGGGGACGTCGGTCATAAAAACAAGTAGTTACGACGATAAATTAAAAAATAAGCCGTCAAAAATAGCCGCGTCGTAAGTCTTCTTTTTTTAGAAAGCGCCACTTAGAAATAATATAAGATTATTTTAAGAAGACGAATGCGCCGGGCCACCCCTTTTACCAATATTAATAAGCGCGTTCTAGGGATGACGTAAACGGCGGAAGGTATTTTGCATACATTAGGCAGTTTACGTAAGGAGCGTTATATAATCGGTAAACAGGAAGAGTTTTAAATAAGTAAAATCCGCTCACCTTCCCCTTCGACTAGATAATATTCGTGGCTCTTGAAGGGTTCCATAGCCAAGTAAACTGCGGATCCTACGATTATTATCACGGATGCCGTCTAGAAACGAAATAGATAAACTAAAAATACGTCTTTATTCCGGTATAAAATCCGTATATTCCATTACGGTGACTTACCAAGGTATAAATTCCGCAGCAGTAGGACCCCCTTTTGGTATCCTTGAAGCAGCAACACGTCTCCGTGCGAAACGGCATCTTCGATTATCGTTTAATTAGTCCCGAGGAAAGGAGAAGCGGCGAGATTCTCGTGGCGAAGTCGACCGTCTTTCTGAAATAGCCCGACCCCGGCGTCGTACGTCACGTGAACGTGGCGTAATTGGTGGAAAGTTGCGGTGTAGCGTTCGAGCGCTTCTCTTACGTAATTCCCAGTTCTCTTCGTAATAACTCCGGCCGGATTTTTCGCTTATATTCCGCGACATTGCCAACATTTTACGGACTTTTAAATACGGCGAATCTGGAAATTATACAATTATTACGGCTCGAAACGTCGTTAATCGCCGACTACATCGATTCCAATTTATTTGTTATATTAGCATTTTTTAACCGTGATTAATTTAATTCGTCGACTTTCGGAGTAATTATAAACCGTTAAAAAAGCCAATAAATTAAGCGTAAACGAAGGAGGAAACCGTCCTTCCGTAATCTGTTCAAAAGCTAGTTAAAGTCAAAACCTTTCCAGACGTTAGGCGCGTAACTGGGAAATGCCATTGATTTATTGCGCGGGCGAAAGACGATATCTTCGTAACTCGATAGGCGGAGTAACAATGGAAACTTACGTTCTCGTTGCTTCGTGGGTAAATCCGCGCCAGACCGCCGAGGAACTCGGAAATATTATCGGCAACTTCTTCCTTCGAAGGAGACATTAATAAGAAGCGCGCTTAATATTCTATAAGCGTTACAAGGACGCCGAAATCGGCGCGTTATAAGCTCTAAACTCGGAGAAATTTAATAGTAAACCGACAATAAATATACCTTCCCGCGGGCCATTTATACCGAGTTTTTGGGTAATTATAACAAAATGTTTAATCGATAAAACTATTTCTTAAATATATAATATAGATATTTCGAGTATGGCGGTTCTCGAAACAAAAATAAAGATTAAGCGGTTCCCCCTCTCACCCTCGGCGGAGCCGCACTTAAGGACGAGTTTAAAAGTTATTCTTTCGAATTAAGCCACTGGATTGTGGAATAAAATATAATTTTCCGTAGAAGGACGGGGAAAACGAACGTCTATAAAAAAGGGCACTAAACGCAGACGCATTAATTTCGTGAGTTAAACGAAAGCGGCGAGTTTCCTATTCCGATCACGCGGAGAACAAAGGACGAGTTTATTTTGCGTTAAGACAAATATGGCGAAATTCGATCGCCGCGGTTTGAGGAGGAGGCACCATCTGGATTCTCTCCAAAGGGTACTTTACTCGCGCACTAATAGACGACCCGACGTCCGAACCGCAAAAAGAACCCCTCCACTCCGACATTCCCGCCTTTAACTTAAGCGGTAATGTAGAAAAAAAGGCGAAAGTTCAAAAATGTAAACCTTTTTGCCATTCCTCCACTTAAATTTACACCCGTTTACTCGTTTATAAAGAAAAATTCGGCGATTTTACTTCCTCGCGCCGCGAAACAAATGTCGAATTTCGCCAAGGAGGAATCGTAATATAATTTGCCTTTTTTGTCTAACAGTTGACGTAATTTTTATTTCGGGGGTGGGAGATTTACCGGTCGCGTTACGACGAAATAATCTGGGTCGAGGACGAATACTTTTTCTCCCTTCCGTTACTCGTCCGACCGCCGCGTCACCGCCGTCACGTGGTCCGACGTCTCCGACCATTACTTCCTACCTACCCACCGCCAAGGTCTTAGATTATCAGGTTGCCTCATAGAGAAGAAACGCTTCTCATTGGTTGCTTATTTGACGTCACTCGTAGTCGAAAACGAAACATCTTACTATGTCCTTATGGTAGAAACGTTACCGATCAGAGGCTCGTAGCTTTAATTACACGCTAATATTTTATTAATTACGATACTTACTTAATTAAATAAAAATAAAAATTGATTATAAATAAGAAAAATCCGGAATATTGAGCAAATCTTCGTAATTTTTACGTGTAAAGTTGAAGTTAAAATGAGTTTTTCTACTTTGTAAATGAAATCTATTTTATCTATTTTATGATTTTATAACAACAATAGTTTCTTAAAACGATTAATTTTGGTAAATCCTACGTAGGTGATTTATATATAAGTAAATTAATTTAATTTCTATCGTCAAACTGTTATATATTTTTTTTTGAACTAAAAATAATATTGGTCTATTTTTCAATTTTTAATACTCGTGTACCGAAAACGATATTATTGATATTAATATATACAAATTAAGTTTCAAAAGAACAATTTTTTATGTTATAAACACATTTTTGATGTCAATATGTACAAATTAAATGCTACATAAAAACAATTAATTAAATCAGGTACAAACTTTTTTTAATTTTCTATTGTTATTACAATTTACTTTTCTTTTCACAGCGAAACGATCATGTTTAATTAAATTATTCAAAAATTTCAATCTAATCCATACACGTTGCTTTACGTATGTGTATATAATGTCTTCTGGCAAGTTAATTGTCTGTTTAATTAATGATGTAATAGATGAAACCGTTTTACATTTCAAATGCAGTTTAACAGTTTTTGTAAAAATTGATTCCATTTTTTTAACTAAATTAAAGAAATCTTCTGATGGTTGTGACAGTCCACCAAAAGATAAATCCTGAACAAGGGACATCATTGTATAACTATGTTCATTTTTATTTTGGTGACTGACACTTCCTAAATTTGGATATTTTTTTTTTATTTTCTTGCAATCCACCCTGCTAAATATTGTAATCCATCATTTTTTAATTCATCTAATTCATCATTTTTTAATTCTACATTTTCCTGAGATATATCACATAAATCATCATCATTTACATTGCATGAATTTTCAGATATTCCTTGTTCTTTAGAACTAGACATATCTGAAACTTCTTGCAGTAAATCTGCCTCTTCAAACATTTCATTTATTAAATAATTTTCAGCTATCTGATCTTCTGTGTTTAATTTATTTTGCAATATTCCTGGTGATTTGCCTAAAATTATCATTCTTACTCTATATATTACTTCAAGTGGACTAGGATGATCATTTAAACCACCTCTAGTTCGAATCTGTGAAAATAGATTTTCTAAAGAATCCTGATTTACTTTACATGTTAAGATATAATGGTATTTAGGAAATTTTGAACTAAGGTCGAAAAATAAATCTTTAATAGATTTAATAGATATAAGCATTCCTTTTTGAAATGTTTGAAGTGATTTTTTAGATACACATCTCATACTTTCAATTATTCTGTAAGTATTATCAAGTATATTATTTTGTTCTGTTATGTTAATGCCATAAGCACATTTGGAGGGATAATCAATTTTGTAATGAAAATTGGGTGTTGAACTATTCATAACATCAAACCATGCATTAATTGATGATATAAATTCAGAAGCTGCTAAGGCATTTTCAGTTTTAATATATCTTTTAATAGCAACAGCTGTAGAATTAGAAAATAATTCACAAGCTAACCTAACATTTTGTCGTTGAAATTTCTGACATGTAATATGCTCTTCTTTTAATTTATGGCAAACTTTTATTTCATTGGAATCTATTTGAAGTAACTGTTGTAATGAGTCTTTGTTTATTAATGTATGATCTGAAGTTAGAAAACCTGTATCTAAAAACCAATTTCTAATGAGTTTTAACAAATGAGGTGCATCTGGAAAATAGTATATATTATTTCCATTAGATGGATGTATAAATTTAGTATTGAATATATTTATCCCTAATTCCTTCCATAATCCTATATTTTGTCCACCGCAGTCACTAACAACAGCAACAACAGTATATCCTGCATCAAAAAGTTTTGAAATAACAGTAAATAAAAGTTGTTTTTTCATTTTAACATCAAAATCCATGTAAACTGGTTGTTTCCATGATGCAAATAGTCCTCTTGCCATCATTACTAAAACTTGATTATTGGGTCCAATAACTTTATCCCTCACTTTATCATATTCATATATATGCTTTACCTGAAATATCAGTAAAATGTTAAAACAGAAAATTAAAATAATTATTGAATTATGTGGTTTTATCAATATGAGTACAGTATATACAGTATTTACCTTCATCTCATCAAACTGAAGAACTGTAAGTTTTTCTTCTTCTGAAAGTTCAAAGCCTTTAATTTTCATGATGTTTATAACATCATTTAATATGCCTTGACAAAGATTTATTTTTGAAGCCCATCGTTGAAGTGTCGAAACTGCAGGTAACGGGATATTCATTTGATTTCTTAAGTATAAATATGATCTTATGCTTAAATATCTCAAAGTAAATGCCAAATTCATATCTTCTTTCTTCCATTTAATTTTCTTTTTTCTCTCCAGCAGATTATATATTTGTGTTTCTGTAAAGGTACCTTTCAATATTGATATAACAAAATCTTTTTTATTTTTTTCATTTATTTTTTTCAATTTTTCATGTTCTTTTTGAAGGATGACAGTTTTACTTTTCCAAAATTTCAGATCTCTTTGGATTGCTTGCATTCTTATCTCAATATGTTTAATCTTCATATTTAAAATAGAATTTTCATGTTTTAATTTAAAATTAAGATCTTCTAAAGTTTTACAATTGTTACATTTGTTAAAAGATTCTTCTCCTTTATCCTGTTTATTTACATCTAAAAGTTTTTCTATCAGGTTTTTTCTATTTCTTTTTAATACACTATTCTTTCTTTCATTTGACTGCTTAATATTTTTATTTTCTATGTTTCCTAAATTTACTGTTGGTAGTGAAGCTTTCTTTAGTTTAGGTCTTGCCAATAAACCTAATAATTCAGCTTTTAAATTTCTTTCAAAATCATTTTCTGTGAAATGATCAGAGCAAACATGACAAGAATCAGGATTAAATTTGTCTTTTCTTTTACAGTTATGGATCCATTTTCTTCTTATTATTGGATCTTTAGGAAATCTAAAATAACTGACTTTCCTGTCTAATGACTTTTGTTTTACAATGGCTGTTATCACAATTTGCAACAGCACATGTTGCTCCTGGCATCTAAAAATAATAATAATAAAATTTAGGTATTTGCGTAAATATGCATATTTTAAAAAGTTATATTAATTAATAATAAACAATATTCTTTTACATCGCAGGTTATCTTAAGTGTTACCATCCTGTTACCGGCCAGCTTATTATTTGTAGTCGTCATTTCACTGAGCAG